CCTGCACAAAGAGCTTTGATGTATGAACCTAAATTCCATCAACTGAAAGCGGGCAAAGCCAAACTGGTTACACAGCACTGAGTGACTGTACGCTTCCTAACTGCGCTGATGCCCCAGGCTCCTCGTGCACATCATCGTTGAGGTGACCATCAGGATGATGTTTCTCCTCAAATCTCTTCAGATATGGTATGAGTAGAACAAAGAAGGCTCCCACAGCCAAGATGCTGCCGGTGATGTAGAAAGCCAGGTTGTAATTCTCCCCAATATCATACAGCGAACCTGAACAATCAACGCAGAGAAGATGACATCATGTTACAGGACACATTAGAGTGGGATCACAGTGTTTGTCATTATTTCAATTTTTTCCCTAGACCTGCCCTATCAACAAAGAGCTTGCACTGTGCGGCCTTCAGAATCCTTCCTTTGCAAACAAGCTTCTCACAGATATCAAAGATGATACCACCTGAAATAAGTCTTGCTGGCTTCTCCAACTTGCCTGCAATGGAAACCATGGGGCTAACACTGAAAGGAAAACACTAAAAATAGCTGAACATTTTTTGTCTTTGAGGACTTTACTCTCCCCCTTTCCCTCTTTGTATGAGCAAAGAAAAATACAAATAAAAATTATGAGCAATAGGTAAAAAGTTCACCTAATCAAGTTGAAAGAGAAAAATGGCAGGCAACCAAAGCAAGTAACGTTTGTAAATTACTCAACAAAAGTTGGCATCGCAGAACCTCAAATGTGTGATTGTGTAGGGGTCATTCCAAAAGGTTTGAGCACAATTTGTGATGGTGTCCTTGTTACATGGGTAACTTTTACCACCTGTCATGACCTGTAGAATAGGTCATTTACTCTGTAAAAACAACACACCCCTCTGTATTCAGCCTTGCAAGATGTATAACAATGTCAATTTGGAATCCACATGCAGGGAAATAGCTGTTCATTTTTATGGAACCCATGTAACAATCGACATCGTCACAAATTGTGCCCCAACCTCATGGAATGACTCGTTGGCAAATACGCATGTGACATGGTTTTATTCTTACCAGCAAATGTTGGTCCAGCAACAGTGCCGATGCCCATAAAAGGCATAAAAATCCCAAGTGCAATGGGAAACAGATCAGTGCCCACAAACTGCCTAATCAAGACGACATGAAGGGACTTGAACATTCCAGACATACATCCGAAGACAATAGCAAAGATGATATACCCTGCGAAGGTGTGTAGGGAAGGGCAGATGATCATAGATAATCCGCAAGTAAAGATGACGAAAAAGTACAATTTCAGAGGGCCAAAAATGTTATGGTCTACCAATGGACCAGAAGATAGCCGGCCCGACAGGCTGCCAACGCCGTAGATCGACATCAGTACAGCAGCATTCAGCTTGGAGATCCCAGCATCAATGGTCATGGGCACAAAGTGGATTGTGACGGCAGAGAAAGCTATCCCTACCACAGCATTCAGGACGCACATGAGGGTGAAACGATGCCGAGTCTTAAAGAGATAGAACCCACTGACTTGGGCGAGGTGACCAAGATAAATAGATGCCACGGTTGGCCTTCGCTGTGTCCTCGCCACTGATGCATCAGTGACGACACTATGTTGACTGGCAGTTGCAGAAAGCTTTGATGAGGTCACGACTTCTCCATTACAAACTTCCCCATGCTCCTGCTGCCGAGAGCTGTGACTAAGGCTCTCTGAAGACCTTCTTTGAGGTTGGCTATCTGAAACACCCCGGAGGTTTATTGCATCCTGAGCTTCAGACACACAACCAGGTTGTATTGAGACCTTCCTAACCGGCTTCCCATCTAACATGCTCTTGCGTACTTGGACATCCTCGTCTTCTATAGACTCTACACCAGAGCTGCACATCATCTCATGAGGTTCATCAGCTTGACTTTCCTCAAGGTTTAAGTTAGTGTCCTCTACCTCAGAATCACTTCCAGAGCTCCCTAAAATCTTCCTGTAAACCTTTCCATGAGAACTTCTGACACTCTCCTGAACGAGTTCATCATTTTGTAATGACACCCGCTCAATTTCCTCGTGGCCAGGAGGTCTCTCTTCAACTGAAACTTCCCCAATTATTTTCTTTTTCTTGGCAAGTCTATTATATTGTTTTACTGGTCGGAATAGCATGCCGCAGGCACATACATTAGCTGTCATTGCTGAAAAGACAAAAAAAGCTCCGCTCCAACTATAGAGGTCGATGAATAAGCGAGCCAGAAGTGGCAGAATGATGATGGTCAAGCCTGACCCGGAGTTGCTGATGCTGTTGGCCGTAGCAAACCTTTTCTTAAAGTACTTGCTGATGACAGTTGTAGAACTGACATAGATAAAGCCACAACCGACCCCTATGGAATAAATACATGCATAAAATTACAGCAAGTTAGGCAGTTTGTAAGGGAATTTTAACTCAACTGTGGGGCTCACCCAATATCACACCTTTACTGAATTAGTTTGTAAGACAAATTTGACATGCTTTGAAGGTTGATGATTGGTGTAAGGGAACAGTTAGATGGTCAGATAAGAGTAAAATGGAGTGCGATTGAATACCTCCCACAGCACCAAAGCTCAATATGACGTGTAAAAGTGTTTTCGCAAAAGATGTAATGAAAAAACTAGTGGACATCATCGCGCCTCCAAGCACAGCCAGTCTTCGAGGGCCGATTCGATTGCAGAGATAGCCTGCCAGAGGACCTGTGTGTAGACAGTTCACATCAAAGAGAACGTCAGAATTCCAGAGAAAGTTACATATACAACAGCTTAAAACAGCCCACCTTCATTAAGCAACTCATTAAAGGAAACGTGCAGTGAACAATCAGGTAACTTGTTTTCATACAAATTACTATGTGTGACAACAGTACAAACAAGATCTAAAATACTCCTCCAAGAAGGTGGTCTCAAGAGGTTGTTACTTTCAAGTTCTTTAGGAAATCCTTTCATCAATACATTTTTAGAGGGTGCCATTGTGTTCGCACTCAAGGTGATAAAAATTTGTCCTTGAAAATCATCCACAAACTTTTGAGGAACACTGGCCATCACTATTCTCCTAACCAACACAATAAACAAGTAAAAAGTGTAGCTTACTCTGAGAAAATGTACAAAAGTGTGACATATATTTGTATACTGAGCTGTAGAGACGTTACTGTTCTGCTTTGGATGACATCATGCTTTGGCTCATGAATATGGAAATTTTCATTAGCATAAAAACCATAAGGTTGTAGTTTAACCTGCCCTGAGCTGACGTGCATCTTTAATCGGTGAAAGACAGACAGATGCTAGTAAGTTTTCCAAGCAGGTTCTTGCATGTGTTCTTCGTGAACGCAAAGACCATACATTCAAAGAGTCAAAGCTGTCTGGGTTTTGATCACTGTCAAGGCTGAAATTGGATGAAATGCATACCCGTGAAGAGAAACGCTGCCAGATGGGCGCTGCCGGCCACACTGACCGCTGTTGCCGAGGCTTCAAAGGAGTCTCGCCACTCATTGAAAAACACCCCGCTGCAGCGTACAAACAGAGCAAACTGCAGGCTGATGTTGCTGCCCACGGCAACCACCCAGCCCCATCCTCCATCGGGTGGTGTTGGCGTATCACGCTTTCCAATCATCTTTGTTATTCACAAAGTAACGAGATGTCTCTGTATTGAAATTAAAACACAAGGGAAATCAACCAAACATTATATGTGAAGATGGCAGTGGATTTGGAACATGAACAGTGAATTTAGGGCACTTACAAATGTTACTGTAACACAGATCTCTGTCTGATTACATAGTCACATTGCCATTGTGAATCTGTATTCATGAGGAGAAATTCAAAAATGATTAATTCTGACTTTATTTCCACAGAAAAAATCCTCGTAAGCCACAAATTACGAATACAAAAATTAAAAGGAGTATGTGGATTTTGGAAGAGACAGGAAAAGTTGGAGATTTCATATCTGCACTGAGCTGAAGTGAACCCTGACCAGTGAAAGAAAGACAGATGGTACTAAGTTTTCCAACTGGGTGCTTGCAGGCGTTAGGCGTGCACGCGAAGACTGTACATTTCACACAATCAGACAAAATTCATGCTCCTCATCAAACACACATAGACTTGTGCACCTATGCAGTGAATGTGCACCAAAGGACTGTCAATTTCATTTCAAAATACGTCCTCTTTTGTTCCTTCTTGGAGCACATTGACTAATATAATGATTGTGACACTGTAATGCAACTATGCTGACATGGCTAGTAACCACAGGTGGCAAAATTAGGGTCCTGGCAATGGAAATTACACTACAGATGACTAAAGGCATGTTAGGCCTGGGCCTAGCCTACCCCCAGAACTGTGGGGTCTGACGTCCATTCCGCTCCCCCCCCGCTCATGGGAGTGGGGCGGACGTCGGACCCCACAGTTCCAGGGGTAGGCCTAACCTACCATGTAATACCAAATACCGAGTAACTATAGAATACAGGGCCAGCTGTAACAAGGGAGCATCCATTTGTCAAACCTTATGTCAAACGTTGTCATGGATTTGTTCCCCTCGGTTAAATCTTCTTTCTGAGCATGAGCACGAAATGTGAAACAAGCTTATGAATGCCGTCCTTTTCCGCATCATGCATCAGGACTTTCAAGTTTCAGGATAAGGTCCTACCTCGACGTGAACGATTACTGAGTTCAATCCTTGGCTTTAATTTATTTGAACTGAAGGCCTTATCTACTCCATACACAGTTCTGGGGGTACAAGTATTTTTGTAGGCCTTAACAAGCGCGGTCATGATTATACGATTTGTATTGCATCACAATTTCTTCACAATCACAGTAGGGCCGTACCGCAGCTGCAGATGGTGTACAGTTGCTAATAAATGCATGGTCATCAGGGTGTCAGGTGTTTTGAGCGTGTTGCGCTCACTGGCACGTCGGTATCTTGTGCAACGCTGTGCTGCGCACTTTGGTATACACCGCCCCCTCTAGACAATTTTGTTTTCAACACTTTTAGTCCCTTGAGGGCGCTCTTCAATAAATTGCGAACTATGAATTCGGGATGAATCATGGGCAATCTTTTCTCATCCAGACTCCATGGCAAGGACCAAAAGCCAGAAGTGGACGTGAGAAATGACTCAAGTGAGGACAATGAAGACAGTGATGGTGATGATGATGTCCGATACGATGGACCGCTGGATCTTAATCAGATCGTCTTGTTGCATTGCCACCGTGGACGGAGATGCGGTCACTCCAAGAACAGAAAGAATTTGGCACTGCAAGAAGGTAGTGATGTAGACCTTACTCAATACGTTTTAACAGATCAGGGATTCAAAACTCAGTGAGCATCCTTCTTCAGCTTCATGTTCTTACGATAGAAAGAAAACAGGAGGAAATGCTCAACTCAAGGTCACTGACCTTTAGACAAAAGTCCCGAAACATATGTAAACGTTGAGAGGTGATTTGAGTATGCTCATTGATATGGTTGAATTCAGCTGAACATGTCCAAGCAGTGCATGACATTCCTGCAATTTCTCAAACAAGTTCTTCTTCAACTCTTGTTTATGGGACCTAAATTTTGAAAGGGACTGGTGGACATGTCATGACAAGCCACTTGATTCAAAGAGCATTCTTGATTACAAAGCACACTGTATACAGTACGTGGTGGTTAGCCATAATCACTGATGGTAGAAGCTGGTACAAGCTGGTACATGTATGTTTAGTGAGCCACATGTCCCAAGCTTGACCATCCAAGCATTACCCGTTTCGAAGGATCTGATAGAAATTGACAATTGCATGAAACACGATCAATTACCACCTCTACAACATTTTTATCTTACAGGTACGGCAGGGTCCTTCGATGATACATATTTTCCAGCATCCATTGACGTGGAAGCATCCAAGAGTATTCAGGATGGAAATGATGCAACAAACACCACCTCTGCCATTCCAAGGAGGACAAAATCTCCTGCATGTCCTGACTCCGATGTTGAAGTTGAGACCATTCATGGCAAGACGGCAGAGAATCAGAACTCGAGAGGGTCGGATGCTTGTGACACCGAGACCGTTGATCGAGAAAGTGAGAGCCTTGCTTCAGAACCAGTGCAATGTTGCAGTCGTGACAGAGAGCAAAAACTCGATGTTGTAGCAATGCGGGCATCCAGCAAACCCTTGGCATGGGAGATTGATATGACTGACCTCGCAGTTCCCAAAGACTTGAAGAGAAAAAACTCTGCTAAAGGTAGTCTTGTTTCAGCTAAAAAGGGCTCTCTCTCTGTTCCTAAATAAGGAAAAGTGTCCCAACAGTGTGGGAGAATAATATTCTTCAATGTCACCTACATTGTATAATGAAAACAAATAAGCACCCATGTCACGGAAAATGTACATGTATGTGGATAACTGTAACTTTCATCTTTAGTTTAAGGTAGAAATGCTTATTATAGTATTGAATGGACTTGTTTGTTAGGAGTTGCTAGGAAGGTTCCAAAGAAAGATATCTCTTCAGCTACAACAAGCCCTAGACAAGACCAATACATCCCTCCAACCGTCACCGTAACAACCGCAATGCTGGCAGAGAGGAAGGTTCTAGATCAAAGACGATGGTAAGAATGGAGCGACAAGGAAATGTTGGAAGAATATGTCACTTTGAATTCTGTTTAAGGTCATTTACATGTAGATGTTGCCTCTCAGGTCATTAGCTGTGTTCAAAAGTCTGAGATGTGTTTAGTTGTAAACACACAAGTCTACATGTATGTGAAGTAGTTGTAGCCACAAGAGCATATGATTTATTTTGGTTTCCAGCCATAGCCAGTAGTTCAGATTCAGACAATGAACTCTGATTTCCTTTTTTCCCCTCATAGGTTCTGCATGTCTAGGCCTCAGTACAGCAAGTCCTGTGGCCTGTCCTCGTTAGTCTCCTGTTGGAACTATTTGTTTTCCACCCTGGGTGCTGGTAGTCGTCCCCCGATCACTCAAGAAGAGGCCCTGACAGTACTTGGATTCCAACCTCCATTTGGTGACATCCGATTTGGACCGTTCACTGGAAATGGGACACTAATGAGGTCAGCTTCTGGAGAGTTTAGAGTTTGGCCAATTTTTTAAACTGTAATTTGCTAAATTGATTAATAGAGTAAAAAAATGAAGGATACAGAAGGAAGACATGTCTTCAGAAAACCTGAAATTCTTGATCAGCCTTTTTCAGCAACTGATAAAATATGGATCTTATTGTTAGGTGGTTTCGAAAACTGAACAACCATTACGGAACCCGTGGTAAATCTTACCACATGTACAAGCCGGTCGGCAAAGCTCGTACCGTGGGGCGGACGTCGGAAGAAGCCTTGAGGCTGTTGAAGGATGGACTACTTGATTCAGGGACCACCTTCATCTATCACTGCTGGAATCACTACTTCTGTCCGGTGGGATTTGAGGAGGTCCCCAAGAAGGCCATTGATGTCTTCAGGTAGTGATTTGAATCGACTCTCACTGGTGGAATAAACTGATGTCAAATCCTCCAGGAAGTCACAATTTTCACATTAGTACAGCTTTTACCAAGAATTTTTTTCTGCTTTTCCTACAATTGCTTCAGATATCTTGGTGTTAGTTTTCATCTTGCCTTCAAAAATTTTCTGTTTACACACCAGTTTATTGCTGTTTGTGAAAAGACCCGGATTTTATATCATACTGGCTTGAGGTTTTATATTCCCTTGATTACAGGGGACCCCTGTCTGAAGACGAGGTAGATACTTGGATCTTAGTTGCTGATCCAAGTCGCAAACACCCCGGAATTCATTGCTTCAGGTAGGAAAAAGATGAAAGCAATATGAGAGACTTTTAGATCAGAACTTATTTCATAGTAGTCAGAAATACAGCAAGTTATTAACAAAGGACAGCCGCAGATTTTTTCATTTTAAGTTAAGGTTAATAATTCTTCACATGATTCTTTACATGTGTTGCTTTTTTCGTGTAGGTCAAGATATGAACTCAAATCTATTATCCAATTGGGAAGCCTTTTCATGTGTACCTAAGTTATTTGACTGTTACAGGTTTTCTTCACAGATGTATGAGCCTCTTTGCAGTGTAAGATTTACATGTACCCTTCACTTGTCCATAGGTGGGAGGACATCTCAATGGATCTTCACTGTAAGAGCCCTGAGTGCCTCAACATCCGCAAGCTCCATCTTGGCATCCAGACGAGAAAGACCAAGAGAGTGGGTGGCAACCTCCACTGCCTAATGGCATTCAGGAGGAGCAACTTGGAGGCACCCTCGAGGATGCTGGATGGAAGATGCCGAAGAGAAAAGGGAAAGTCGAAAGAGACCGGTGTAGGCTGGGTGTCACGCATCAGAGGTTGGGATGAGAAGCTACAAGCGAGAGGCTGTGAGGAGGAGACTAGGATCCTTCAAATGAGAGGTTATCATGAGGTGGATGTAAGGTTCAAGACAGACGATGATGAGGCATACCAGCACGTGAAGATTGAAAGTCCAGCGGACCAAAACAAGGAGTCTATAATGGGTACTTACGAGGAGGGGAGTGAGGTTTTACATGAGGTTTCCGTGGGGCTTCAGAGTGGAAATGGGGTGGCTAGGATTGATCAGGATGCCAGTAAGCTGAACGGGAGGTCACTTATTGAGGAGCAGACAGATGATGGTGAAAGTGGGGAAGACTTAGAGGAAAGCAACACTGACTCCGGTGAGGAGTAAGAGGTTGAGATCGTTTGAAGGGATCAATCTTTCCATCCCAATCTTCCTCTGCTTTGAAAATGTTTCAGCAGGGATCAAGTAATGCCTTCCGACTTTTATAACCGGTGCCATTCCAAACATACATGTAGCAGCTGGTTTCTACATGTTCATGTAATCAGAATATGTACACTCCGTCCAATGAGGTTTCAGGCCACGTGTTCTTTCAGACATTTTATTTTGAAAGCCATCTTGTTTGCTACTCTCAACACCTTGAATCATGACTTTCTTTGCCTCAAGTATTCAGAGGTTGGCTTTCGATCGTCCTTAAATTGCCTTATTTATCATTTGCATGTGTTATGCCAGTTATGTATATTCAGTTTTGATTCATGAATTTTGTGTGGTTTGTGGTAAACGTATGAATAAACAGATCTTGATTTAATTCTTCAAGTTAAAGTACAGAAACATGTAGACTGATGTTCTTCATGAGAGATCAACTTTTAACATTGTGTGTGTGTGTGTGTGTGTGTGAAATCTTGTGTTTTTAAGCATCTAGATGTATTTGTATGTAAAACTTTTTGGACCAAAGTTGTGAATTATGTACAAAAAGACAGTTTTTAAATAAAGTTGCCTAAAAATAATACATTTTATTGCATTGCATTTCTTGAATTTGTAATAAATCACAACTATAAAGCAGGGCTGCAGGGCTAAAAAAAATCCTGAATGGACAGACAATAGAGGAAGTCAGTGGCTCAAGAAAAAAATTACTAGGCCTTTCAAATATTTCTGCACTGGATGAGGAAACATGAACTTGCTGTATATTATTTACAACCAACTTTTCTGCAGATTAATATTCTGCTGTGCCTGAAAAATTAACATGTCCAATAAGCAAAAAGTAGAGCAAATAGCAACATTTGGGCAATTCTAACCACCGTTAGTCACAAGAGGTTGTGTATTCTCTGATGTTAAAATGTACAAATATAAAGTTAAAACAGAGAAGCGAAATATTAAAAACTCCAAATAAATGTATCTTGCAAATCCTCTAAAAACAATGGTCATTAGTAAAAGCAACAGCAAAATAACTGGCCGGAACCATTACACAACTGAGGGTTGGAGTAAAATGGAAAAGAACTATTTTTTGTGTACATTCAGTAAACTCATGTTTTCAAAATCACCACATGAAAACTACAGCATAGAAGACAGCTGGAAAGGTGCACCATCATGCCACCATGTGGGATGGATTTGAGCAGTTCTCAAAGCACAAGGAAAAGTTTCCTACACAACCTTCAGGCACCCACAATGTAAAAAGTACTGTAGAAAGACCAGTGTTTTTGAGGTTGAGTAGAGTTTTTAAGTATGACTTTTGTTATGCAAGCAAAAATTTAGATACTGGCCCAAAACTTTCATTCAATTGTGTACTTTACTCCTTTGATTGTAATGCATTTTGGAGGATTCCGAAGATGACCAGTAACGGGGAATAATGACAAAGGAACACTTCTGTTGCAGTTCATTTGATTACATGTAGCCTGTGACTTGATTCAGACTGGAGATCTTGTTGGGTCTTGTAGTGGCGTTATGAGGTCTTGATTACAACACTGATGGAAGACTTAGTCAATGGACATATCAAAAAATGGGATCTGAGTCATCGCCGGAGTCCCAGCCGGAGGATTCAATACCACCCCCAAAGTCCACGTCTACATCGTACTTGAAGCCATCTTCCCCTGGTTTCTTTCTATTCTTCTCAAACGTTTCATCCATGATGCTCTTTTTTTTCTTCAAGGTGTCATCGTCCACCTTGTTCAGGTCCTCCTCCGGGTCGACAGCCAGTTCCTTTTCGACTTTCACCAGCGACTCCTCCATGCTGAGTCCCGACAGACGCTCCTTGATGATTCTCAGCAGTTTCTCCATCTGAAGGGCACTGACATTCTCCAGGTACTTCTTATGGCGGGGGTTGGACTTGAGTTCCTTGACAAAACGCTCCACTCCAGAGCGCTTGGTGAAGTTTCGCAGGGGCATGGAACGCTGCCGATCTTTGCCTGTGGCCTTGTCTGTGTAGGTCAGGACAAGGGTGGGTGGGTTGACCCGAATGGCACATTTCTTTGGCGTTATAGTAGACATTGTTCAGGGTGATGACAGAGGCTTCAACATCATTTAGTGGCATATACTGTATCTATATTAGCACACTGTCAAAGATGTTTGTGCTGTTAATAGCTTCCCGCATTGGTGACTTCTGCTCTGGTCAGACATGAATTTCTGAAATGAAAACAACCAGTAATGAAGAGAGAATCAACTGATACAGATGAGACCCAACTGCGCACTGAGTATCAGCAATGAAAAGGTGAGTGCATCGATGTTCGTGTCAAAACATCTTCCACTGAGCCCAAAGAGTCATGTAAGAACACAGGAAACTCCAAATTACTCACTTGTCTGCAAGCAGGATGGCTACATGTACGTCAAAATTACACCAAAATTTCTCAACAAGATTTCAGACAATGTGTCTATCAAGTCTAAAAGTTAGCCAAAACAATCTGATAATCATGATAGTGAGTGTACTGAGATCAATGAAACAGCAGTGGAAGTCTGATACTGGAGATTCACGCAGTGCACCACATGCTGTAAGCTTGAAAAGGCATTTTTTAGTGCATTAGGCCTGTGCGGGGGGGATGGCTTACAAATTGGGAAAATTAAGTTGAATTAGGCCTAGGCCTATTTCCGATTGTACATGTCGTAAGTTGAACTTGTTGTCAGGGAAGAAGATTCGTGAGTGTATTTTGAGTGTGTTTTATCTGTCTATTGCTTGGAGGATATGACCATGATCTGATGAACAGAGACTTCTAATTACAGGCTAACTCAAAGATTTCACTTAATGATCATCATCAACAGACGTTCCCTCTAAGTTCTGGTCCTTTTTTGAACTCACCGGGCGCCGCCATCTTGCTTTACAAAAGTTTTATTTCACCTTTTTAACGAGTATATTGTGTTCGTATTAACAGTTAATTGTAAAACAAAAATCAACTTCTTTGCACTTCTTATGTGTTTATAGAAGGTTTATTAAAATTTTAAGAATTATTTAAACTACTGGGATGCTGCTGTTGATCTGATTTAAGAGTCCGTGGTTTGAGTTTAGAACCTTCCCAACTACAAGTTGTGATTATCTTATCAAAGTAATGAATCAACAGAGGGCGCTAGAGAAGAGTCACAGACACTAGGCAAGTCCGTGTGTCTGCATGGAAGATAAACCGACGGTCAGTTTGCATTGTTCGGGTCCAATATACATTCAAAGTGCGATTTTATCTTCTAAAACGTCGCAGTGGAAAAGAAAAAAAGAAGAAGAAGAAAAAAACAGGAATGATGCTAGAGTGGGTAAACAAAATCTGCTTCAGCATTGCAAGGATTAAGGTCAATCGAATTTTCTCAATGGATATGATGAAAAGATGCCAGATGAAGTTTGCCACTGATTTGGGAACTAAAATTGGAAAAGCAATGACTCATGGAATGTCCTGCATCTCATATTAAAAAAGAAGCTTTGTCTGAAGTTTTAGAAAATTTTTTATATCAAACTATTCCAGAGCCACCATAAATGGGATGATCTGAGGCAAACAAAAACAAAAACCTTGTATCTGGCAACAGCCGTAATGAAGCCTGTGCAATTGCAAGAATTTACGTAACTCCTTACTCCAGCCGTGTTTGCAACTTCTCAATGTACACACAGTAGAGGACTAGAAGAAAACAAACACAGTACAAAGGCCTGTCTGTGTTACGGATGCACGATCCCCGCTCCTTGAGTGAGGGAGGTTGTTTTGTGAATGCGGTGCTCCGGCTCGTGGTGTTGGTGCAGGAGGAGCGGCACGAGCCCCCAGAGAGGCGAATAACAACACCGGGGCAGGCACCACCGTGGGGCCGTCATAGAGAGCCATTCCACGGTGGTGTGTTGCTGGTACAAACGGTACTGGTCAAGGAGGAAGCTTAGTCGTCCGAGCGCTGCTCAGCATCCCATGAGCCTTATGCTTCAAGTTTAGGATGAGGGTTTAAGGCTCATATAGAGTCCCCTCTTTCCAACATTACGGGTAAGTCTGAGTATATTTCACATATTGTGGTATTCAAGCCAGACACCCACTTAAAACCGCCTCTCGTAATGATCTCATTCCATTCATTAGTGTATAAACCTGACGCAATTAGTAAGGAACCGCTATATATCGATTTTCCCCGAGGGGTAAATAATAAAATTCTCACCTCCAGGGACAAAGCCTTCTTGCAAACACAGACTGTTGGTTTATAGCTAGCATATATCTATCACCATCGGAGAAAGAGCTCCACTGAATTTTTGAAATAAATCTTAGACACAACTGCTAACAGGTTTATTCTGCCTCGGTTGCAAGTTCAAATTTTCTTAGTTGATACTTGCCAATGCAAGAATTACCACCCGTCAGATCTGCCAGTGTGAGGTATATCTTTTCAACCAGTTTTATCACCCACCACGTAAAACCTTCCACATTTTTGTCCATTCGAAAAACCAAAACGAACGGAACATTTCACAAGGGGATGACTTTGATGGCACTTTCTGGAATAGGCCTATTGCTGCCTTTTAACTGTTGCCCCAGACAAACTTTACGCGATGTGAAATTTCTATTGCAAAACGTGGTGCAGTTTTGTTTCGGGTGCAAATTGAACTCTCTGCGGTGACCATTCACAAACCAAAGTTCAAAAGTTTAAAGAAGAGCTGGAAGCGTATGATATTTGCATTAATTAATAATTGGAATCCTGATTGTAACGAGAGAAGCCTCAGTGGACTCTGGCGGAAACAGAACATCAAGGTAAGTAAAAGATTTCAGGGATGGAACGTCATTGCCTGACTGTGAGACTGGCGTGTTAACGGCAAGTGCAGTGTGTTGTCTGGTTTATAGCATTATTACATCAGTGTTTGGAATTAGTAAAGAGTTCCACAGGAACTTGGAGATCACAAGAAAGCATTCCATTTGTATAGGAAACTACACTCGATCACAAGCAAGACATAATTATTTACATGAATATAATATACAATGTGACAGATTTTGCATCGCTTTGTTGTCCACTTGTACTTGGTCGTGAAATGGCAAAATTCTAGCCACGATTTCACACATAGATTCAATGACAATTTTTCTGTGAGCAACATTTTTCGGTTTTTTTTTACCGACTTAAATATGTTTACCTCGATATTCTTAATTAACCACTTGAAAGGTTGCCAAGGCTAGGACAAAGAGTTGTTATCCGTTACAACTTCCCAGGGTCCGTGACATTCTTATGTCAAGACCTACAAAGTTTTACCCTAAGCCGGGAAACCCTTCAAATGCTCGGCCGTTAATAAGCAGCGGTCCACTGCTCTGACAATGCTGAGCCGGCCGCTAGCGGTGACCAAGTCCCCGTCAAGCTATTCAACGCAGGGGATCTATACTCCGGTTGGTCTAATAAGAATAGTCTTTGTGGAGGCCAAAAGGGCGTTGATCGTTGGCTTGCTGATATTTAGCAGGTCGTAATTCAATGGCTGAGTTGCGAAATATCAGAAATTTCATACTGTTAGTTAATGGAGAAAAAAGAAGCCAGATTTGTCTACAATCAAACCAAAATCCTATTGGGAACAACCAAACTGAACATCAGTTTGTGTTCGGTTAAGTGTTACTGAAAATCAGTTAAAATGATCGAGCATATTTTTAATCTGACTTACTGCCTATATAGGGAAGTCTATACGGTTTACCTAATTATAAGAATGCCACGTAATCGAAATATATTATAAAGAATAATATAAAACCAAGTTGTACAGTAACTATGATCAAAAGTATTCTCACCGAACGTTTGCCAACACTTAACGAGTGTAGGCCTATCACTAATGATGTATTTTTTGGAGTATTTTGAAGCTCGTTACTTGTATCGATCACACTAAACAGTTTACCGAAGGCCAACCACATCGTAGTTCCCCAATTTGAGGGGTGTAGTTATGCTGAATAGTCGAGGCCAGGCGTCAAAGCAGTCATTGACTTTTTGAAGTTATTACTGGGACCGGTACCATGTCTTTCACCATGAATAGGTCCAGGTTATTGCGGTCCTAAACGTATCCATTTATAGCTTTAACTGAGCACAGAGCAAGGCACAGAGCGACTCTATAGCTACCGCCGTGTGTTTCCTCATGGACATCAAGTAGTAAAAATTAACAGCGTGGAAGTAATCTTGTCGGATCTCTACAACGAGCATCTCTGCTCTTGGTTGACAACACATTAAGTTATCGAGATAATTTTATGTGCATGAAGGAGCTGCTACGGATCTCAGTGGGAAAACAAGCTTTTTCTTGACACAACTGTCCAGGGAAGTTTTTCTTGCCAATCTCGAAAAGGACGCTACAGTTCAATTTTGTGGAAGCTTCCACTGTTGGAATGTCAGACTTTGCTTCTCTTTTGAAAAAAATCCTCCAATGCCACGAGTGTAGTCTTTATTCAAGTCGAGGTTCCTCGGCCTGTTGTGTAAAAAATCGTTGACAACAACAACAACATGAGATCGCCACGGGTGTGTTAATGTAGACAGATACCGTCCTATGATCTCTTGTGAAATTGCGTGCTGTACGCGTTATCGCTCATAACGATCTGCTCTTGAAGTTAAAGCACTTACTAAACAGGTTGATGGATCGTGCTTAGGCCTATGTAGAAATATCTTCTAAGCTGAGGTTATCGCTGCTATGACTAGGATCCCTTTTATAGAGTAGGCTGAATGCCTAGTCGCCACCTAAGCCAGAATCAAATCCAGAAGTCCAGTTAACTGCAAAAACGAAACCACACAAATCCCTCATTACCAAAGAGAATAATACGGAAGTATCCTGGACAAAGGTTGGAAACCGTTATATTACGAGTGCATGTAATCCCTTTTCATCGAGATTAACATTTTACGGTGTGCAAGGACATCGGCTCATTCACACAGTCGTGATTAATTCCCAGGCAGGCTTCAAGTCGTCTTGAAAACTTTGAGATGACCTGCTGAATATCCCCGTAGCTCATTTGTCGTAAATTTTTTTACTTCCTACTAGTACCAATTGAAATAGAAACCAACAATTCTGATTACAGGACAGCATAAAACGCTGAATGTGGTCCGCAATAAATTGATCCACTTGTCACATTCTTCCCGTATCCATCTTTGCTGTATCGGTCACGTCGGCACCCGAGTCAAATCGAGCGTTGTATTTGTTAGAATCCTGTAGAACTTGTATATTTTGGGGATCAGATTTTCGGGGGATGACGGTAGTGGGGCGGGAGGTTACGCGGCAATGTGAGGCGAGGAGCGACCCGGCGCCCCGTGGTCCCGTCCGGACTCAGGATTGCTCGAGTTTCTCAGCTCCCTACTGTCCACCTTGAGATCGGTAAGACAACCCGTGTCCACTTCACCCACCCAGCCATACACTATATCGAAATCCTTGGCCACACATAGCCTATTGTGCAGGTGGACGGTACCGTGAATAATACACACACCAGCATCTCAAGTAAACACAGTTCCTTCGCAAACCTTTTTTAAATTAACAGGCTTCGGTGCATTTAAGAGCAGGAATTGCGGATGCATTTTGTTTCGGGATGTTGACTTAAGAACCTGCTCCGGGATATGTTCCAAATAAAGGAGACGCACAGAAAAGACTGCCAGTGGATCGGAGGTGCCTCGGCAGAAAGGATTTGAGCTTTTAGCGTAGGGGTTAGTTGCGAGAATTTTTGTTCATCCATGGGTCGCGTATAAGACAATTTTTCTACGGCTGCCTCGTCCTTCAATGAATTTTGTAAGCTTAGCTGTAGGCTGTCGATCTGACCAAGCAATACAAACTATACTGACAAGGTTTTTTAAAAGTCCTTCTATGACCGTGATCAAGGGAAAACTCTACCGAATCACGAATTCCTTCCTTAGATAACTTATAAAAACCTGCATTCTTCCTTGTAGATCATAGGACGGTCAAGATAAAACTTCTGCAAATGTGATTCGAAGCCTGAATGTCTTGTATTACCGCGTCCCTTCCCCACTGCGAACTGCTGGCTGTCCAGGCGCCCTCTTGTGAAATGTCGTTGTGAGTCTCGGCGGAGTAAGAACTTTTGACACAAGGAAAATATTGGTGACGAGAACTATCCATCAAGGTTATTTTGATGGAAATGGTGCAGGCGATTGAATTATTTAAAAACCTAATTAACAATATACATTTATTTCGGCATTCTCAAACTGCTTACACCGAATGGACAGATCTGAAGTGTTGCGAGGGCCCAACATTCATGGTCAAGAAAATTTCTTGATATTGTTTCAGATATTTTTTAAAGAAAAACCTCTCTGAAGTTTCAAGCTTAATCTGTCTACCTGAAGAGACAGATGTCAGCTCCGATTGAGTCCGCATCACCGACTCTGTTCAGAGTATTATATGACCGAAGTGAGTTAAGCCAGCAGGCTAGCGGGCGTGGACACGGTACATACAACACGGGAACAAATTGGACACAATTTACAGTACAAAGGCGTTCTGTGGACAAAAGGCTTGCAAGTGTCGTCCCATCCAGTGCGAATGAAGGGGGAGGTATAGGGATGGTTTTTATTTACCCAAGGGCATATTTCCAGTTCGATGTACTCCGATTCATTTCAGTCTACAAGATTAAAGAGCCACCTTGTTATTTTCTCGAGGACTTATTATGGCTTCTGTGTGTATTAATCTATCAGGTACATTGTTTTTTTATGTCAACAATGCCCAGTTGCGATATTGTGTGGACGCGTTCTTTCAGCACGTTACTTTTCAAAGTTTCAGTGACCACGCACGGGTCGTCGCTCTTGGTTTACATACAGATTTTCAAATGTTTATGAATAAGGGGGGGGGTGATGACAGGGTTTCGGTTGGACTCCATTGACACCCGAATTTTCCTGTGTTTATGAATAAAAGGGGCTGACGAAAGGGTTTGCGTCAGATCAACTCCCCAACAACCCTGCAATCCTGGTTGTATAAACTCCTACAGTTCAACATTAAATCACTGTCTTCGATGTTGGTTGATGCTGGCCTCGATTCAAAACAGCGGCGTGTAGTTCCTGAACGTCATGGAGTCTTTTCATCAAACCTATCGCACGAAGGCAGTGTTGGATTGGAAACATCAGTGAAAAGACTGTACAAGCTTCTAGAGGGCTAGGCTGAAGCGTTTTAATCCGGGGAATCATGTCCTCAGCACAATTTTTCTTCGATCTGTACACGAAACGGGATTGTCGAGAATGTAACCGTCCCCATCGTACAATCAGAACGTTGTTTTTACAGCGACCATTGACTAATAATCCGATTAAGACCTTAACAGAATAGGGATCATCCATGGATTAACAGCTTACACCGATGCCTACTACACCAGAGGGTCTCTGTCTTGTGTCTCTAGGACAAAAGTTTGGATACCGATGCCAGGAATAGAGGGGTGCAAATCGATAAGGAAAACAGTCGGGAGGTGCACCATGTCTTAAAGGTTCAGGTAAACGGTGTCTGGTCGATGACATACATTCTCGGTCTCTCTCTTAAAAGGTTTTCTCCCAACACGTAAGGCAGGTATTACACGTCGCTCTGTGTAGAGAGCATTTTGTTGAGCAGAGAGGACCTGCGTTGACAATTTCTTTGTCGTAAATATTCTCCCAAGACCATTTTTGAACGCTGGACGTATGAGACACATCGCCTACACAGTAATAATATTTGCCAAGTTGCTTGGAGCTGCCAACCGGCGAACAATAACCACGGAACTGGCTGAACTTTGAGCAAACATCTTTCCCCAAAGGACTTCGACGTGCGGGACCATTGATACCATGCTACACAGAGTCCTAAAAATTGAAGACAATTCGAACTGTTGGCAGCAAAGTAGTAATTCACAGCTCTGTGTTCACAGCAATCTCATGGGAATTCTTTTATGTTTTCTTTAGATCAGCTTTAAAAAGTAAGTTTGGATAGTTTAAGGGTATTTTGTTGGGTACGAACTTGGTATTTAAGAACGTCAATCACAATGCCGAGAGAGAGAGGCCAAGCAGACTCATCGAATGTCTCAGCCTAGATCAGTTTCAACTATAATCCACGGAGTATCCACGGCCGAGCTTCGCCTCGCTGACGGGGCACGGCGATTCTCTCTGCTCAGAACTTGGACTCGGCCCGCCATGTCGGCTTCTCAGATGATGGGTTCGCCTTCCACGCCTCCCCCTCCGACTCTCCTGGCTCCTCCCCCTGGTTTTGCTGTGAATCAGTCCCTTGCTCCGTCTAAACCCACAAAACTGCAGAGAAGGAAGGCAGTGTCGACCAAATCCAAGATGGCCCTCCTGAACATCAAATGGTAATCTGATAACAAGCTTCTATTTGTATCAGTCACCAAAAATCGGATGTGTTTGCTAATACTCGAAATAACATCGTGTATAACCCTTCACAAAATAGTCTCGTTGTCATTGTAAAACCCACTTTAATATTGCTGCAGGTGTATACGCTGTGTGGAAAGTGAGGCATGCACATTTATCTTATTTAGTTCCTGTGTATAATAACAAGCATAAATAGAAACGAACAAAACAAAGTGTAAAAAGAACAATATGACAACACCTTTTCGCCTTTTTGGAAAATTAATCTTTTACCGTTCTCAGGGAAATGAAAGCGCGCACGACAGAAGTTCAAAACTGGTTCGGTGCTTTGCCATTTGTGTATGTAAACTAAGTGCGATTTTAAAAAATACATGTATAGGTCGGTTCTTTGATTTTCCAAAGGGCAACAAACTATTCCATTCCTTCTCCCCAAAACCTTCGAAAATATTCGTGCGTGTGGTGGTTGTAGTTTGAGAAGAAAACAAATATTAACGTCATAGATTTTTGAAACAGAAATGATTGAACAGAGCATGATTGAAGGTCACATTATCTTGTTGGTGGTTTAATTTTTACTAGACATTAAGGTCAAGATAAAAACCGATATTAGATGCAAAAAATTAAAACAATTTAATCATTCAACTGTTGTTGTCTTCCTCCATTTCTACGACTGGAATTCAGGTATTATAAAGTGTGAGAGTAGACTCTGCGATGGTTATTCGATACTTTTCTTTTCACTGTGGCCCTACCGACGTTTGATTATCAGTTTTTATTTTGCCCCACAGGGAAAAGGGCGACCCCTTTGTCACATTAAATGCCGGGAATCGTACAATGAAATGAAACTCCGGTCAACTAGTGGGCTGTTTTTTGTCAACTTTCTGTGACCAATTCGATTGCGGTTAAGTTCAAAGGGGTCATAATGCTGACTGAAAGCCGGATAAGAAAGCATACGATTGGCAAGTATTCCACCAAATATATGGATTAGAGACCAATAAAGGACAATCTAAATACACGATCAATGGCGTCACTGATCTGCCGGCAAGCCACATTCAGTCGTTTCTTGTGAATGCCTTTCACAGTGTCGTCAGTCCGATATTACAGCTACAGTGTCGAGGATATATTTTCTGGTAGAGAATTCCTTTCACGGTTGATGCTATTCCGAAGCGTTGCAACTTAAGGGTATCGATTTACAGTCGACTTAAGGATAATTCGAATTTTTTCGTTAGCCTTTTAGTGGTCTGCATGCTTAATCCTGGAATCGATTTTAAGCACCCTTTTATAAATATCCATTGGAACCTAAGTAGACGGGGACGTTATGAAGCAATCTTATTCATTCCGTTCATAAAATCATGAACGAATTTTCCTGCATTATTTGGAAAGACCAATTAATCCGGATGGAATTTTCATTAAAATCATACAGATACATGCACCAAGACTTGATTAAGCGCGCACGCACAATCAAAGTAACGACTCTGTGATAGGCCAATCTTCACCACGTGGTTAGCAAGACATTAATTTTTACAACAAATAGGTTGTGTGATAATGACATGTTTCTATTAATCTTATCAATTTATTTAAAAAAACGCCCTTGTGCTTGCTGGATCGACATTTCTGAATAAATGGGGTAACATATTCAGAAGGTTTAAAACCGAGAGCTTTGCCCTCCAGCTAACCCACCAGGACTGCAGCGCTGGTTCAATTACCTCCGATACCGGATTGGTAGGCCTACTCGACCGTTACGGGAGTTGGAAGAGAGTCAATTAATGCAGTGTTCTCATTGCAACCTTCTTTGCCTCACGTTCAGCAAATCAATACCAACCATTTAGGGCTGAGGCTTAAATTAAGAGAACGGTACACCGTTGATCAGAATGCGTAACACTGAAATCGATACCGGTCGGCTGTCGTGTCCATTACGGTTTCCTTGTTATGTTATCGCTTGTGGAATTGCGACTGCCCACTTGGAGAATAGACACGATCAGTCTCGGTTGATGTACGCAATAAAATGTCCCGCCTCTGCACATTCTGCCAGGTCTGTCTGTCTGAGAATTTGACGGAGCTTAGAGACGCTTGCAGCCCCGTAGGGTAACAAGAATGCTCCGCCTCGCCGCGTGGTTAACTGGAAGGACGGGATCGTATACGTAGGTTGCATTTCTTTACCTCAGCACTTCTGACATACATGTAGGAGCTCAGGTCAACGCCCATTCATCAGCTGTCCACCTAAATCAATCTGTGATGTAACTGTGCTGACACCCAATGAAATGAGTTATAGGCTTATTGCCGTGGGTACGATAGAAGTTCTTACACTACAACTCATTTTTGTATCTTTTTGTAGGGTTCCCATTGATCCAGCACCGGCTTATGAAATGATGTCACCAGGTCATTCCAACGGTTCAACGGGCTCATATCCGTCCGGTGAGTAACTGATTTGAGGCCGTTTTTGAAAATCACGGCTGTGGCTAGAATTAGGCGTGCGTCTATGTAAACCTTAGCCACTTTCCGCTGCAGCCACCTCCCACAAACTCCTGGAGCTCAGTAACTGTCGAATGCTTCGCCTCTTTGATCATGTGATTCTACATTGTACCTTGTGGTTTTCTTGGTCGAAGAGAGGCGAGCTCTGTTGGTAACTTCTCCCAGCGACTACGAATTGCATGACAAACTGAAATGAAAATGAATTGACTGGCGTTGTTCGCTAAATTGTTGATATTTTACTATCTGTCCATTAAGGTGACTATTCATCAGACGTAGGATTGCTGAAGGACCCGTATGCTCTGACGCTGCATTTCGTCACTGATCCAGGAGGGGCTACCAAAACCAAGAACCTCATCAAACCCCTCGTCAAATGGTTTGACCCATCTTTCAAACTCTTCAACATAGCCGAGCGGAGCAAACCAAACGGCTTCCGAGGGAATCTGATCGAGAGGGACGTGTTCCCCGCCCTCTCCGTCGTGCTGTTTCTGAGCCACGCCGACGACGATGGAGAGTCAGAAAACAGGATCATTGAAGCCCAGGGGTACCTGGCGAGGAAACCATGGAGGTATCACCACCACGCCCACACACCCAGTAGGGTCTATCTCTGCGAACCGAATAATCTCAATTTCTACACCACAGAGCAAGAAATGCCCTTGTGGGGGATTAGACAGGTCCATTATGGTAAAGAACACCTGAGATTCATGCTGTATACTGGCCGTGATACCTGGCATGACATGATCCGATTCTACTGCCTCTTGCTAGGCAGAGACGTCGAGTACCAAAAGAACGATTTCTGTTACTTCATCGTCCACGAAGCCAGTTGCAACATGGATGTCCAGTTTGCTTTGAAGATCGTGCCTGATGACTGTTCCTGTAAACCCCTCAACTCAGCGTTCCTGCAATTTAAGGTGCTGGAGATTGGGGACCTGGTCCCCTTGCTGCCCAATTCTTGCTCTCCAATCAGCCCTCAGAGGTGGCAGACGACGGATCCAGACGGCAACGTCACCCTCCTGTTGGTTGCCAAGAGGAGCGTCAACAACAACCTGCCTCGGGTGAAGCCAAGGCGGCATTCCATCGACGCGTTACAGACCTTGCTGGCCCCAAAGGCGCTGAAGCCTAGGCTTGACGGGGCCAGGCTGCGGATGGGGGTGACGTCACCAGGCCTCCCGGCCGTTGATGACGACGAGGAGGAGGAAGATATGTCATGTTAAACCGTGCACTGGGGGCGCCCTTCTTCAGCATGCTGGCAGAGGGCGCCCTGGGTGATAACTTGAGACATTATGCAATGGAGGGACGTCCGCACAAGACAAGCGCTTATCTACCCGTTGCCATTCTATTGGCCACGCTGATTTTATAATACTCTGTGCATTATCCCGGAGCATTATGACAATCAGATGTGGAGGTTACTATATATATCATTAATGCCAATTATTCTTGTACTAGCACAGAATTTGTTGTTTGGTTATCAATTTGAATACAATTATGGGTGTCCGTAGTTAATTCTATGGTTCTCGTTTCCAGCCGACCCTTATGTTTGACTCCAACCGAGGGAAGAAGTCATTCTATGTGGGCCGACCCTGTCTGGAATTTCCCACCGAGAAAAAAAAAGAAGGAAACAAATTTAATCTGAAGAATTTCAGGAGATCAATCAAGTAATTCTTTACCTCCAGTTTCATTTTCCCCGACCAGCCTACCGGCCTCTCCGCAACTTGAGGTTAAAACAATACGAGAACCATGGAATTGAAGTGAGATGGCCCCATGAAACAAGTTTTTTGAAGGATTTAGAAGGATGATTAACAAGAGGGGTTTAAAAGACTGAACCCTCAGACTTCGGACTGTCATGACGTTACAAGAACAGTAACACCATCCGCGACCCAAACAGACAAATTAATAGAGAAAGGTTAGACAGACGTAGAGAAAGCACAACATATATAGTACGAACCTGTAAAATTACGCGGGGTGTTAATATAACTAACCTGCTTCTTAATAAGCGGAAATAGGTCGATCATGTAGTTGGTGCGTGAACAGATTTCTTTGTCATCGCGGCACCATGTTTATCATGCATCCCTTCTTACAGCCCAATGTCTTTCACAATTTTGGGGTAGTATTTATAGACCAGACATCTTGATTTCATTTACAATAAGAAGGCGAAGTGACAATCTTATCAAGAACAAGTAACTAACCCTTTAAATCTATGCTAAGGCGAATATGTTTAATACCCATTCTTTTCACGAACTTTATAATTTCCCTCAGTGACCACAATCAGGACAACAGCGCCCTCTTAAGAGATCAAAAGGATAATCTGCTTCCTCTCTGTTTATTTGTACATGTGGGGCGCATTATTTGCGTACCCATGGGGAAACAAAGGAATCTGTTAGACTGAATTTTAGTCTGTGTCGAAGGAAAAAGTGAATACTTTATACACATAGAAGCATTTGTTTCAATCATGTTGTTTCTCCACATTTTGACTAAGTATACCTTTTACTTATTAGTTCTTAACAATCGTACACCTGTTAGCGTTCTCATCTTTTCGAAATTATGCAAACTGAAAATAAATGAATCTGCAGCTTCTATTTACGTTTTTTTGCTCGTTCATTTCAAGATTTCAAAGAGGCTGTGGAAGCATATTCTCCAGTTGTATACATGTCCCTATAGATACGTCGATATCTTGAACTCAGTTAAAGTGTACTTGATATTATGGTTCATGTTAGAATAATTTTATGCCATAAAGGCACCAAGTAAGAACCTTGACAAACTACAATCATTTGCTACATAAAGATCTGGCTTGACGGATTCTGCCATATAGTTAACGGCCTCGTTATAAAGACCATCAAAAACTCTGCAGACGTCCAGAATTACAGAAAGTTGAAGATTGACCAGTTCCCTTTTAACTTCGACAAGACGTCATCCTCGCGTCAGCCAATGTGACTCTCGCTTCTTGACAAATGAAAAACCGAAACAGTAGAAGTCGACCTAGGGAGGCCTGTTTTTCCATCATTTACCTACGCGTAGCCTTGAGCGATTAAACCCCGTCGCTCATCAGGGTATCATTATTGAAAATACTGTTACAACTGTCGAACTTGAACCGTCCACTTATTGTAATAAAAATAGCCACCTAAAAAAAAAGAGCTGATGGGAGGGAAGAAGTTTTGTGCTATCTCAAGCCACCAACCAGCCGGCGTTTGATCAAATCAAGTCCTGTTAGTATGTTACTTCCGCGAGGATGAACACCATGCAAAGCCCGTGCCAGTCTACCGCACCGTCCCCGCTTGAAAAAAAAACTACCGGCAAAGCTAATTATCCCGCCAAAATGCTCCGTGAATCTCCGGTCGATTCTAGCTTCTTCTTTCGTTGTCTTATTCTTCTCTGGCGCTTCATCTCGGTAGCAGCCTTGATGAACGGCGGTGGAATAACAGACGAGGTTGGACAAATTTGGTTTGGCAGGGACGGCGATCAAGTTAGCGGACAGCTGTGCGGACAATTTACCCCCTCTGTTGTTGCTTTAATTCAATGAAGGATGCAGGCAGATGGAACAAAATGCCATCAAGATGAAGGATCAAACCAATGGCGCCTATTAAGACGGGAAGAAGAGACAAACCCCTCAAGTCGAAGATTAATGAGTAAAAACAAATGGAGCAGTAATTGTTGAGACATTGGACCGATTTCGCAGTTATAGGCATTCCAGATTCTCGGAGTTTGTACCTTGCCACCAATCCAAGAATATTCACCGCATGCCTCATTCCTTTGCTCACTGTATCCTAGTGGATTAACAGCAATCCCAACGTGGCATTCAGAGCCTATTTACGAAGACATCTGAAATTCATGGAGGTTCAAAAAAGAGGAAAAACATGACAAAATAAGTTTACTCGCTTGACAAACTTTAGAGAGCTATACACCTGGTATTGACCTTCTACAAGATTTCTGTGGGCCCTCTTTCTTCCTTCAACCTTTACAATGAACAATACTCAACTAAAATGGTGTACGCATGAATACCTCTGAGTGTGATTATACAAGGTCATTGAACAGCAAAAAGGACTCAAGAGCCGAGTGACTTTGCAACAGTATTTTGTTAACTCAAATTACGACGTTTAATTCTTCTCTAAGGTTTTGGAAAAAAATGTGAAAACATCAAAGAATACTGTCTGTAAGAACAAGATTTTAAATGAAATATTTGCACGACGGGTGAATTCAATCCTGCTGGAAATATATTTCCAGAAGTCACCAATGCGTAACTGTCAGTCACATAGCTACGATTGAAATAGAAATTAAAGGTGTTTTGAGATATATAAATGGTACGGTAAATGACTAAATACAGAATTTCCCTTTTGCAAAAGTAAAGATTACATAAGATTAAAATCGTGAACTTTGCACAGAGTACTTAAAAATAAGTAAAATGACTGAAACCAAAACTGCAACCTTGTCTTAACAAATTATGTTTGGTTCTGAATCTATCCACGCTTTGGTTCCAAATGAAGGCTTCGATCTCCACCACAATGACAAATTGTCCTGGTTAAATGTGGATGCGTGACAAAGTGTGAAAACAAGTGGACAGGGATGGGTCTTGGTGCCAACTTAAAGCCTAAGGAGATTGTTGAGTGGAGACATGACAGGGCACCAGCCTGTAAATACAGTCCACAAGGATAGAAGTGGGTAGTTCCTTTGTCCCCCACCTCTAGTTAGTTCTTCAGAACCGCGAGTCTGAGAAGTTCCCTAAGATCTAGTTCTTCGAAGCTGTGTGCATCTCTTGCTTCTTCGTTCTGATCTGGGATTCTTCCAAAGTTCTCCATCACTCTCCTCATTAAAATAGATCCAATATCAGGTTCCTCCCAGTTTTGGGTGCTGAGCGCATCTTCGCTTTCATCTTGTAGTGGAATTCCTCTGTTGATTGTTCCTATAATCGATTCCTCACCGGCGTGAACGGACGTTGCTTCAATCCCTGTAACCTCCGGTTCTTGTAGGCCTAAGTTTTGATAAGGCCCACAGAAGCTAATCTCGTAATCGTGTTGGGGAACATTCACAACGCCGACCGAGTCCTGATAAATCAGCTCTGTGCTTCTATCCATGAGGAAAGCAGGGCTCGATTCACTGTTCGAATAGTTGGAAGGTTGATCCCCGAGTGAAACGTCTACAGTCTGGTCGCGGCCGCCGATGGCACCATGATTGTTCCCGTCTTGTAATGGAACCACTCGTGTAATCGGTTCTTCGTAAGAATGATCCTCATTCCGATCAGCAGAAACCTGGTCTCGTATTGGAATCTCTCCAGTTTCCTGTTCCCTTTCTTCCGGGAGTCGGGGACTGATCCTACATTCATACTCCCTGTCTTCTCCTCCATTTGTAGGGCCGTCAGTTTGCCCGCTCTGAAGGCTCCCCGAACAACATTCGACAAGACCCCAGGAGCAAATCAGTGTGAGGAATAAGAGTTCTATGACAATGCAAGTGAAGAGCACAGCTTCGAATACCATGATGAAGTTGGCGTCGTCAAACATGTTAAACGTGATGGTTTTAAACAACTTGAAATAGTGCCCGGTATTAGGAAAAGGTTAAAGGTTATACCAAAGACACTCACACAGTGACAACTTGTTGCATCCTCGTTCAGTACTGGGACGACTATGCCTTCAAGTAAAGGTGGTATACCTCGACAATTTCTGTCTGCGAATCACTGGTTGATCAGACGTGCTGCTATGCTATGAGTGGAAAAATTCATTTCTTCACAAGCTTTCTGCTCACACCCATTGTGGCTTACAAATCACCCGTACAATCAACTATAATTTGCAGTGAACCACTGCTATGGCTGAATGCACTTGGTGTATGGATCATGACCGGTAACATTATAATTCAACATGTGCATATACAGTTCAACATACGTGTACTGGGAGTACGGAGGGTAATTTTAGCTTGGTGGAGTGGCTGCATGGATTATGTACATCATGTCCTACAGGTACACACAAACAGGCAAATCATTTCCCAAAGTCGCGCAAATAGACGATGGAAAACGTAGGATGACGAGAAAAAGCGAGATTACAGCCCTCATTCTTCAGATAGTTAATATAAATCAGAATTGCGAACCCTTTATCGAGAGGCTTAAGGGTTTAAACAGCATGTACACAATCTGAATAGCGTGTAAAAATACTTCTCAATGGTATGTTCCTGTTGGTGTCATGGAGCGGCCAACTTTGTTCTATCTTCCTATAGCACATTGGAAATTCTTCAGTTGATCACGCGCACACATCTCATTGTTCTGCCTTGTTTACACTTAAAATTCCTAATTTGAAAACTAATACATTTTCATGGTTTTTAATGGTTTTTCCTGAGACACATTTCGAATTCCCTTGTGTTCATTTCGTATACATCTGAGCCCCGTACATTCCAGCTAAGATCCCTCGGCTAATGGATTTATCGACTGAACGGTGTAAGTGTCGCCAAACATGGCTGTATTAGCTATGTATGGTTTGTTCAACGTTTATGTAATTAGGTCGGAGCAGAGTGCATTGGCAGCGCCATTTTTTTTACTCTCTTAACGCTGGAGGTGACGGTGGAAGTGTGAGGAACACTTTTGTCAGCCGTCGGGGAGGGGTTGGGCAAGGATGGGGGAATACTGATTGCTGGGGGGAGGGGGGAATCTCCGAGCCGGATTGAACGCATCCTTAAGAAGGATGAAGAACGGGGTTGGATTGATTGGAAGAACTGCGAGGTGAGGGGATACGCTGGGGTGGGGTCGGGCAGAGTTAAGGGCGTGAAGGCTCATAATACACATCACCGTGGATATACCGTTGTTGATATCCATTTCGTTCTCTGCAAAATGAAATAACAAAATCGTCTTGGAAGGTGGAGGGATTTAAAAGCGAATTGAGCCACAAAAATGATGTTATTAAAACGACACAACATACTTTTACAACTGTAAGAAAAGAGTTAAGGTTGAGATAACTCCATATTAAAATATCCCAAACAAAGCAAAGCTGTTAATAACTGATTGGGATTTACAGGTCCATTGGACGTTATCTTCCCCTCGGGATGTGTAGTCCAAAGATGTAGACTTGCAGCTTCCCCAATGGCAAGATGAGTTAGAGAATCTTGCATCCATCCTCCCATCTGACTCCTAGTAGTCTCGAGCTCGACATCAAGTCACACTAGCAAGGATGACTGTTTGACTAATGCCTGACCCCCCGACTGCGGGGAGATTTTTTTTTCTCTTCTAGGAATCTCCCAGAAGATCAGTGCACTCCACTCACCGAAGAGAAAGTAGAAGGAAAAAAAACCACAGGACGGAAATCAATACCTGCACATCCTCAATCGGTCGAGTTAAGAGTTTCGGGCTCTCGAGAATTTGACACATCGTTGGACAAACATCGAACGGTATATTTTCTCCTTCCGCCGCTTGAGGAAGAAGATGAGATGAAGGAATTAAAATAAGAGACAGGGAGAGAAAAAATGTGTCTAATTTGCTTCAAAATTTCCCTTGTGTCATTCGATAAATCTAAGATTGGCCCAATTAATTGATTCTTAAGTGGGGCAGGCGATCGATGAAGGGAGAGGGGCCAGTTGAGGGAAAACAGCCTTCCTGGCAGGGCCCACCTGGACTCCCAAGGGATTTTAGGGGAGCACGTTTAACACATCGGTGAGCCTGACGCCATTACATTTCCTATAAGTCGCACTAGCTATTATGCTTGTTCTAACGCAGAGCGACGG